TAATTGCTGATGGTGTTCTGGTTTGCCATAACATTGTACTGTTTATCATCTTTTTCCGATTGAAAGGTGGTGTTGATCTCTAGGTAGCAGTTTCTTACCAGCATTGCTCTATTGCATGATGTGCAGCGCACCATGTTTTTTGACTCTGTATTTCCTGTTATCCTGGTCTTGCAGGCTTTGGTGTTGCATATTGCATGTGTGTCAATGACAACATTTTGTATTTCTGGACAGCAAATGCGTGGTTTTAAGGCATACAACTTTACCACATTCATAAGCTCTGGAGATAATTCAATTAAAACAAACTTTGAGTCTGCTATGGAGGTCAAAACTGGCTCACACGTAAAAGTTTCGCAATCAGGGCAGTTTAACTTGCCAGGTTGAGTTTGAATAGCAGAAACAAACTGTGGCCAGGAATTGTAATTCAGCTCACATTTTTGCAATGCAGATCTGGTCACAAAATTTACCAAAATTAAACTATTTAGAACTACATCCTTTTGGCACATCTCGCAAAATGACTGGAAGGTTCTTAGAGATGAAAAGATATTCATTTCATCTGGAGTAAGCTTGCCAAAAGTTCTTTCCTCAAAGATCTGACTGAAACAAGCATTGCAATCTCTTACCAAAAAAGACGGGCATTGTTGTCTTAAATAAGCCCAAAGAGGTTCCTTGATTTCTTACAACAATTTACTGTTTTCTGGTGACTCAATATGTCTTGAGCATGTGTTAAAAAGAAACTCCGTGAATTCATTTCTCACAGTTAAATTTGACAAATGTGGCAAAAACAAACACAATGCTATTTCTAGAAAACTATCCAAGGCACAAGAAAAGGTTAGAGGAATGCTTAAAGCTGAATTCATGAAATGGCTTTTTCGTTTCAGCATTATTAAGCTTAGGTTTCAACTGAGGTATTAGCATGTGAACAATTCAAAATGTGAGAAACTTCTTTTCACGCTGATGCGTGACACGCTACACAAAATAGGACTTTTCAAAGCGACCTTTACACCTAGAACTGAAAATATGTCAATTTCACTAAACCACCTTTTTGTCCTTTTCTCAATCACTGAATAAATGTTTGGATTGTGGTGCGAGTCTTTCGCGCCCAGTAAGGTTTGATTTGTGTCTGACAAATCCAAGTATGACCTTGTCTTTCGGTCAAATGCAAAGACATTGATGAACAATGCGAGTTTCCACAGTTTTAACTCTAGATCGGATGGACTTTGATGCGATTTTTCAACAAATAAACCTAAGATATCCATGAGCAATACAAGTTTCTGCAATTTTAACTCTAGATTGGATGGACTTCAATGTGATTTTTCAAGAAATAAACTTAAATACAGCTCTTACCTTTCCACTTCAGAACCTTGTGGCAAAAACTCTGCTCCCAGAATCCTTTGAGTGTTTATTCGACCCCCAGCGAAGTTTTGGCAATTCTTTGCAAGCCCTGTTCTTGAAAAATCGAGATTTTTTCTGCTACGGCCAAATTTTCGTCCCTATACGCGGGGACCTCTAGGGTGCCTCCTCGGGTTTTGGCTGTCTGGGCCAAAACCCTGCGGGGGCAAAAATCATTCACAAAATAAATTTCTCACCTTTTGTTTCAAAGATAAAAAGAATGTAAAATTTATAAAAAATACATTCAAAAACACTTTGTTAAAAAAAGGAATTGTCGAGCGGAATTTTCCCACAAAAATTTCATACGGCACATAACTGTAGGAGTGAGTATGTGTCTCTCATTGTTCATAACATGAAATAGTAAAAGAATAATACTTAGTATTAATGTCTTTCAAGTCTTCATGATCAGCATGAATTAATTTCATTGAGGTAATAGTCTTTTGATCTTTGCATACTTGAAAGTCAATTTTGTTGAGCAACAGTAGTGTTTTGCTAATCATGTCTTCAGTTAGATCATTGACATCTTTCGCATTGATGTTGTATTTGGTAGTATTGGAAATTGCCATGAAAAACAAGTTAAGTACAATATGAGAACATTGGAATGATCATAGATTTTGTTCCTAGTCATCTTTAATGTCAAGATTAGCCAATAAAGATGATGCTAGACTGGTTTCAGCACGTTAAGTTTACAGGAAAAATGTTTCAGGAAAACTTCATCTTCAATCGTGGTGAGGCAGGATTTACAATTAAAGCAAACTAATACCTTACTAACATCTGCTGCAACAATGTTCCTGGTAATGTACTCATGAACCTTCTGTGTTGGCTTCAATTCTTCTGCAGCAGCTGTGATTTCTTCCTAGAGCTGAATGTCAATGTCTAGGACTTTCATTGCAGTCTGTGAAGTGGTATTTAGGTACTTGTTGTTAAAGAAAGCCACCTTTAGTCCTACAAAGTTGTAACAGGTGTTGGTGTTCACTTTTGCAATTGCATCTTGCCAGAGAGTAATAAGAATTGGTCCTGTCATGTCAGCAACGATGATGTCACACTTCTTCAGATCTGTCTTTGCTGTGTAAGAGTAGACAGACTGTTCATTTCACTTGTGTAGGACTTGCCTTGAGGGATATGATGTCACCTGGTATGCAGCTGTCCAAAACAAATTTCACAGAAGCGTTGGCTAGAGCTGCAGAAATATCTTTCCAAGGGAACGGTACTCGTTGTGTTACGACTTTTGAGTAGTTATTCAGTCTGTATTCTTGAGTGCTTGGGTCAAACTTCTGTTTTTGTGGACTAATGTTGAGGAATTTCACAGGAGTTGTACTTTCCTGTTTGTGTTTTAAGTCGTCAGTCTTCTGGGCACCGAAGAAAACCACTCTTTTTCATACATCCTGTTGCTGAATGTTGAACTCGAAATATCTAGTTCCCAAGGAAGGTTTTTGATTTCGGACACTTGATGTACATATCCTTCTAGTTCCACTGTTGTTGTAGACTTTGCTGGAGCATTGGAAGCCATGTTTACTACTTATCGTGCTGACAACTGGCCAGGAGTGGTTGTGTTTATCAAGGAAAATTATATAAAATGTTGATTGCAGGCATCTCTGATGGTATATTTTGAGGTGCTACGAGTTCCATGATTAGTTATTGTTTTGGCAACTGACATTTCTTAATTAGCTTAAAGCAGTTGAGAAACAACAGGGATTTAGCACATGTAGCTGTGGGTGATGAAGTCTAGCAAAATTGTTGTTAAATGTGATATAATTTTCTCATAAAGGAGCAGTGAAAATCAAATAGTACTACAATTGAGATGTTTGAATGAATTGTGACCTTGAAGGGTCACAGGGCAGCACTAGGAGCCTTTCTGAATGCACGAATGTCAAATGTACAGGACGTACAAAGTCAACAACAACAACAGCAAGTTGATCCAAATCATGTGACGTTTATTCTTGTAGAGGTAGCGAACTAGATGATAGCATTAAATGACTATGCGAATATGTTTACCTGTGGTTTTGTGTGGTTCGAACTCAAAAGCAGTAACAAAGAAAACCTATTGTACGTTTGATGTACTACCCGATAACAAAGCCCAGTGAAATCACTTAAATTAAGTGATAAAACACAATAAAGAAAATTACAAATAGATCATGCGAGACAATGAAACGTAACAATAACTTACTTTGGTCAAGCTCCT